TTTGTATTTAATGCTGCTGGTCGTGCAAAGTTGTTGAAAGATATCTCGCGATTGCGACTTGTCGAGAGAAAATTATTGAAGGACATAAGTCCTCCTTTGGTTTTTTTCAATTTTTCAAAATCTTCCATGGACAAACCTTGTCCACGAAAGACTTGAAATTTTGCTGGTATGTTGGCTTTTTGTTCGCAATGTAGTTCGGTAATATGCTGATGTAGATGTCGGATGAAGAATCCCATCTTCAGGATAATATCGACATCCATTTGTCGAAGACCATAATTAAGCATTGAGTAGATAAAATATGGACTTGTGTACCACCAAATGGGTGAATGATTACGATATTCTTCTTCAATCTTTTCAAGTGTTTTTTCGGAAGCATCGCTTTGAAGACGACAGTATTCAACAAGTTCTTTAATCGATTTGTCATCGTCATCTTCGATCTCCAGGAGTGCTTCTTTTAGCAATTGTGTATACATAAATAACGGATCAATACGATTAAAACTGATCGAGATCATATCTTGATCACAATTTCTTCGATCGATTTGTAATGCGTCACAAATCAGTTCAATTTGTGTGTACACACCTTTTACTTTAGCAATTGTTTTGGCCCATCGTTCATGAATCAATTGGTTATCACAGAAAATATAAATTGAGACTAACTGTGGGCATTCTTGAATTACCGGTATTATATGTTGTCCCAGGGCACCAGAGATGATCATAAATACATTTTCATTTTCAATATCACTTAGAAAATCAATACATTCGTCAATGTCTGTAAATGTTGTCACTGTTTCTAAAATATTTCGTAAATGTTGTATTGATTTTTTATAATCGCCTTTGGATTCATCCAAATCGGTATCAAGCCATACCAGCAGAGAGTTTTGAAGCTCTCGACGCCTAGGTCGAGGCAGCACAGCAGCAGCACGATTGTTCGCGTTGGTAATAGTGGTGGTGCTAGGCATCGCTGCTGTACCACTGATAACAGTTGTTGTCGATTCTTGTTTGCTCATTGTAATTGAACGAATGAATATAATCAGTGAAACGAAGTCCCCTATATTTATAATTGTTAAGTTTTTTGTTGGTTAACATCATTCCTTTTCTGACTTGTGGCTACAGACTTCAAGAACCTCTGCTATCTGGTTCATTTTTGTTTCAAGAGTGTTACTGACAAAATGACGATAACGGATGATTCAAGTCTCTATACATCGAACCATAAATAAAGAAGAATGGCTAAGGAAACAAATAGTCGCTGAGGATGGACGACATGACTAGTCCGAAATGTCGAAAATACCTGTCCTAACTAGTTATCCTGGCATGAAAACCCCTGCAGCTACGTCTGAACTAGTCCAGAATGTCCTTGAACTTTGGCATGTCTAGTTCGTTTGTCTATCGAACCTGTCCATATTAGTTCGTAGAACAGCAAAAGAGCATTTCTAAAAGTAAAAATTGTGCCTTTCATTGCTGGTACAGTGCTTTTCCCTAATTCTGCGGAAATTTTTTTTTTATTTTTTATTTTTGCTATTGCGAAACCATTTTACATGCGATCGCGAATATTTTTATAAATCTGAATTCTCCAGATTCTCCTCTTTCAAATGAAATGTTATTCATTTTGATATCTCATATTTTCATGTTGAGACAATCGGTCTACGAAAATGGACTTCACTTGATAGAATTAGGGTGCAATTCCCTAATTCTGTTTTCCAGCAGAAAATTGTCCCTAATTCTGCGTTTCTAATTAAATACATAGGAAAAAAAACTTCGGAGAAAAATGTTTTTTTCTATATTTTTCGAGGGAGATGGAGGGCAGATATGTTAGACATTTTTGTAGAGCGGATCAAACTCTACTATAATCCAAAGGTTCAACAGAACTGTATCTTCTTTGATTGAGATATGAACCTTGAAAGGAAGATGCCTGGAGGTAGTGGAAAACAAGTTGTCCCTAATTCTGCATTCCAGCAATTTTTTGTCCCTAATTCCGTCATTCAGCCATTTTTTGTTCCTAATTCTGCGGATAGTAATTTTATGCATAATATGAAATTTTAATCATTTTTTTGTCCCTAATTCTGCGCATAACTGATTTTTTTGTCTTGCATGAAAATAATCAGCTATTTTGTAATGATACTTACGTACAAAATTAATCTACATGTAGATTAATTTTGTACGTAAGTATCATTACAAAATAGCTGATTATTTTCATGCAAGACAAAAAAATCAGTTATGCGCAGAATTAGGGACAAAAAAATGATTAAAATTTCATATTATGCATAAAATTACTATCCGCAGAATTAGGAACAAAAAATGGCTGAATGACGGAATTAGGGACAAAAAATTGCTGGAATGCAGAATTAGGGACAACTTGTTTTCCACTACCTCCAGGCATCTTCCTTTCAAGGTTCATATCTCAATCAAAGAAGATACAGTTCTGTTGAACCTTTGGATTATAGTAGAGTTTGATCCGCTCTACAAAAATGTCTAACATATCTGCCCTCCATCTCCCTCGAAAAATATAGAAAAAAACATTTTTCTCCGAAGTTTTTTTTCCTATGTATTTAATTAGAAACGCAGAATTAGGGACAATTTTCTGCTGGAAAACAGAATTAGGGAATTGCACCCTAATTCTATCAAGTGAAGTCCATTTTCGTAGACCGATTGTCTCAACATGAAAATATGAGATATCAAAATGAATAACATTTCATTTGAAAGAGGAGAATCTGGAGAATTCAGATTTATAAAAATATTCGCGATCGCATGTAAAATGGTTTCGCAATAGCAAAAATAAAAAATAAAAAAAAAATTTCCGCAGAATTAGGGGAAAGCACTGTACTCGTGTTGAAATGTATGCACACAAACAGTTACTCTGTTTAATATGTTTTACAATAAGATTGTTTTATACATACAAGATTCTGCAACCAAGACAATCGATTGCATGTTCTGAGTATTATCAGGCGAAGTTCTCGTAAAACTACTTTATAAACATAAAAATAACACATGTTTATGCACCGTCATTTTTTTGTGTGTAGCTACTCTTTACTTTTCACTTTAATTTTCTTACTAGTCTAATAATGTTAGAAACTAAATACACTTACGTGTTATGTAATGTTGGAGTATAGCAAATTTTGTTTTGTGTGCTTGCAATCGATTTTATTCTGTATTTATTATTGACAAAATTACTTGGTTTTTTCCCACAAACGTATATTTACATGAATCAATGAAGCATGACTTTTTCATCCATGTGCTCGCCATCATATGCGTTTCGTTTTTCATATATTCTACCTCTTCTTTTTTTTACCTTACCTTTGCGTTTTGTGTTGTTACAATGATAAAATATACACTGATATTTGCATATGCGTAAATTTGAGGTATGATGAGTCATTAGGTTTTCAACTTTATTCTAATATCTATATAAATATTTTCTATCGTAAAATTTTTTTTGAAATTGATAATTATAGAAGTAGTGTTGAATGCTTCAAAATAAATAAGTGAAAAATTTTATATTTTTTATTTTATCGTTCGATATATGAAAAACTCTATTTATCACTCAAACTTCGTTAGATGCATCCGAAGAAAGTATGGCGAATGTGCTTTAAGAAGACTCAGGCATTTTGAGAAGTGGGTGTGAGTGTTTGTATTGCTTATTCCTACACATCCCGACCCTCAATTATTTGGTTTAAATATCTAAGAATTTCAATCATAATCAAGCAATAATCAACAATCAATGAATAGAAGTAAAAATATTGATACAAATCAACAACATCTTTCAATCAGTATTCAACAAATAATGAATGATTTTAATTTCAATGTAAATCTTTTTTTAGTATGTTGATATGGTATGTTATATTTTTTTACAACATAATGATCATAATATTGTATCAAGTTCATTGGAAACACATGAAATTATACTTAAATATTCAAATTTATTTGATTTTGATCAATTATTAATTTCAACCCAAATTGGATCTATAGAAGAAATTCGTGTTAGTGAAGCCTGAAAAACAGGTTAATATTGAGAAAAAAAACAAGAATTTTTTTTCTAAAACAATAGCTTATTCAACATATCAACGTTGGTTTATTGAAATGAATGATGAATTCGATTCAACATCAATGATTAATAATGAAAAACGAACATCAGTTGCTAAACTTGTTCATCAATTATATTTTTTTCCGATTAGATATATACTCAATATGGATGGTACGATAAAAAGTGATGATGAATCACGTATTACTGTTAAATGTGCTACACCAACATGTCTATCGTGTTTATCAACAATTTGGTCGATTTGATTATCTTATTGAAAGTATGTTTAATGCTTGTTTGAGGCTTCTTTTTATAAAGTTTCACTGGAGTAAAATAGATCTATTTTATAATCCAAAATTATTTCTAATGTTGTAACAGTAGAAGGGCTTAGGTGAAGGGGATTGTGACAGAGTTTAGTTGACGTGGCTTCAATTGGTTAAGGTCTCAAAGTTTTAGTGAAAGTTATCTGATAGATATGACAATTTCACTATTAAATTGTTGAAACATATATATATATTGGAATCTGAAAATTCAAGAACAGAGATTTCGGAATATTGATTCAGCAGCTCTAGTCCTATTCCTTTTTTTAATTTTTTTGAAACCAACAAAAGACTAGAACATTATCAGACTCGAAACGATATCAAGTAGAACACTTTATTGAAGCTCAAAGCCTGCATTTATACATCAGAGATTGAAATTATATAATCACATAACTACCTCAAAAAAGTTCTAAGCCGAAGTTCGAGATATGAAATCAATTGTATCCTCTAAGGAGTTTTTTTTAGTCTTGAAAGATTTCTGATTAGATATAATTTTGTAATTAAAATTGAATTCTCTAAACGAAAAAATGAAATTCACATCTCTATATGATTTAAAATAGGAAAAAATGGGAAAAGAGCCCGGCAAAATAAGGCAATGGGGCCCGGTGTGCTTAATTGGCTAAAAATATAAGGCAAAGGAGCCCGGAATCTTTTTAACAGTTAAAAACAGGCAAAAGAGCCCGGTAAAAAAAGTAATTAAGTAGAGAACAGGCAAAAGAGCCCGGTAAAACAAGTAATTAAGTAGAGAACAGGTAAAAGAGCCAGGAATGTTTCTATGTACATTTACATGTACATATAAATCTAGTAAACAGAGGAAAGTAGATCAGTAGAAGGAAAACGAAAAGATAAAGATAAACATCATGTTTAGGGATGCACCAGTTTCAGTCATGGCTGATCACCCAGTCCGACTATCAGACCTATGCTTTTGGTTTGAAGGAGCTGCACGAATGACACCCTCAAAGAACAATGGACTCGAAAGTCTTAATGGACGTATTAAACAACAGTACACGATGAGAAATAAGTTACCTTTGGGTGTCTTTATGTCAACTGCTGAACGGATGCTACGAGACTGGTCAATTTCTGTTCTGGAGCATCCATTTCAAACACATATCACTCTTGATGATAAAATTGATTCAAAAGCTTATGAATGGTTGCAAAAAGTTGATAAATCACCAATACTACAGTTGAATGCATTTGCATTTGTTGTACCGTCAACAAATGCAAAAATGAATACAAATACATAGATGAGCCTCCTTTATTCTATGGATTGGCAAACATATGATCAATTTAAAGATTGGCTTAACTCGGCTCGAATTTTAGATTACTCACAAATGTTGTCACCCATTTTTTGTTCCTGTAAATGTGGCCTAAAAGAATATTACTGTGTCCACACAACTGGTCTTATGATGATGTGGGGTGTTCGAAAAATCCCGCTGCTCATTGGGAAAAGGAGAAATAAAGGTAGAATAAAGAAAGCAAAATATGCTTTGTCAAAAGACTGATTTTCATTAAAGTACTACTCATGTGAGCATTAATACTGTATTATGATCTTTTTTTGTTAATTTATGTAATTTTACTTCTTCTATTAAATTTGGCTGTCTGAAGTTAACTAACTTATTATACAATGTTTTACTTGCAGATCTATTGTCTCTCTCAGGACTAATAAAAATATTCCGGGCTCTATTGCCTGTTCTCTACTTAATTACTTTTTTTACCGGGCTTTTTTGCCTGTTTTTAACTGTTAAAAAATTCCGGGCTCCTTTGCCTTATATTTTTAGCCAATTAAGCCTACCGGGCTCCATTGCCTGATTTTTACCGGGCTCTTTTTCCAACGTGTCCTTTAAAATACATTAAAATTTATCGAACATCAAGGTATCTTTTTTTTTCTTTTCTTTAAGATATTACATATCTTTTATCTTTATATGAATACGGTGATCTACATTTACGTGGTACATGTGCAAATTTACTTGTTACATTAATTCAAACAACAATTCATCTTTTAACACTATCATCATTATCAAATTCATTTAATAATTCTTTTATTAATCAATGTTCACTTGTATCAACTCATTCACAAGACAGTTCAAGGTTATATGTCTTAATGATAATAACGCACGTGTTATACATGTTTCACTAAATGCATTTACAATCATAAGAATTGAATTATTAGAAGATTCTATTCAACATACTACAAGTTCCTGTATTCTTGCTAAAGTAGATAAAAGAAATTTATGATTATAATATTTTTTTTTTGTATGTATATAAAATAGTTTGCTCTAGCTCAACTTATAGATGATATTGATTTTCGAATATTAACTTATCTTGAACAACAATAACAATTAAAACAACAGTATTCTGATACACGTGTTCGTCAAGCAACTGCTTCGACTTTTGCTAAGTATGTATTTTGTAGAAATATTAACTAGGTAGTTTTTTTTCGAATTTGAATGAATAAGTCGATTTTATTGAATTAAGTTAGTTATTAGCTACTTTTTTATTTTAAGGTTTTGTTGATCACAATTCAGTTTTACCATGTCAATGGATATATAAAATTCATCATTCATTACAAGCTCAAGCATCAACTCGAATACAAATTGTTTGTTATTTTTGTCTTTTATATAGGTTGGATGTTTGGAAGATATTTATATTCTTTCAAATGTTTTAAGACCAACAACAATTCGACCAATTTTTTCATAATCAATCTGATGAACTTCGTTTATTTATAAATTTTTTTAAACATCCCTTTATATGACATGATCTTAATAATTTAATCTTTTCAAGTAAAGAGAAAAAAGAGATTATGTTTTCTAAATTCTTTCTTTTTATTTGAAGATTTATCAAATCTCAACAAATGAAAAAATGTTTTGAAAGTAGCACAAATAATTCAAGTAATTCGAAAATTGAACTATTTTATTATCGTTCTCGAACTATTGCAAAAATATGCACAATCATTATTTTTGGGGCAGAAAATAATTTCCTATAGTTGATATTTCAGTTTTCACGGAAGAAAGGAGTTCCAAAGTGTTAGATTTGAAGGATATATGATAAAAAAGTTAATCGTACACAATTAGGTGCTTTTGGAAATAATCCGTCAAATGATGAAATTATTTGAATTAATACGCTCATCATATCAAATAGATAAAAGTTTAAATTCATCTGAAAATGATCGTTTTGAACAATTATTTTCAACAACATTATTGTCTATGAAATCAGTTTTAAGTCTTATTTCTATACAAGATTTATCAAAAAAATTTGGAAGAAACACTTAATTATTTTAAATCAACATTCAATGTACACCAGAGGTAACTTCTTGTAAATAGTAAATATTTATTGTAAAGAAAATTTCAATTATTAATCTTTTTTATTCATTGGTTAAGTTAAAACCTTCAAGATGTTGTAATGGGGCTGAAACTTGTCTACGAATAAAACTTTAGATGGAAATCTTATAATTAAGGTTTCTGGTAGGGTCTTTCCTAGAAAAGGAAAATTTCAATATAAGATGTCATAGTAACAGAAAAACTGATTTTACGAATATCGATGATCTTAACAAGAGTAGTTTTGCTGTGAAAGTGTCAGATTTTTTGATTCGGTTCTATCTTGAAATTCGAATATTAAATCATCTAGTTGACGTGAGCGATCTGCAAGACACACTATCAATTCGAAATTTGAAAATCATTTTTTCTGTTAACACAACATTCATTTAAAAATATTCTTTTAATTTAGTTTTTATTAAATCTTCAAATGTTTCTTCACAAGTATCATTAAATAATTCTTTAACTTATATTCATACAATAAATATTCGACAATCGATAATTTATTTTATTTGGTTCACGTTATGCATCAAGTATAAATAGTGAGCAATTCATATAAAATAGTGCAATACGACAGTAAAATAAAGAAAAAAAAACGAATTTGATTTATTCTGTTTTTTTGTTTTCTATTTTAGTTTTTATTGAACTAAAAAATTAGTCTTAAAAAATATATTAATATACAAATGAAAGTGATTGTCAAGCTGCTATACTCGATTTACTTGTTCAATTACTTTTAATTTGTGTTAATAATAGTTAATTAGAAGCTGATGAAATTCGTTGCATTTCTAATCGTTTCGTTCATTTTTAAATAGCATTTTATTTATTGTATTGCTGAATTTCTTGTTATGTTATCACATTATACACTTCATTCAAAACAAGTTATTAAAGTGCAAAATTTAATAAAACATTATGATTCATTATTAGCAAGTGGACATGAACCTGAAACACATGGTAGGAAGCAAAAAAAACATTTTCGAGAAAAAGAAATTATCGTTAAAATTCTTTATTTAGCTTTGGCAGTATTAGAATCAGTTTTATATGATTTTTTTTCTTGTTCGAGTTACGCAAATAATTAAAATTCCTAAAAAGTTTTATTAAATGAGAGTGAACAAAAAGTGTCCTTCTATAAAGTCTCAAATATCTTAGAAACTCGAGAGGGTGTGAGTGTGGGTGTGTAGATGTAATTTTTCTCCTCGATTGAACCCACACTTCAACGAATTGATGACCTGAAAATAATCATCTTGTTGTTATGTATTGGAGTTTGAAGGAAAACTAGGCGTCTTAATTATTATAAATACAAGTATCTTCTCATATCATGTGTATGTACTGAAAAAAATAATAATCGAATTTATATTGTTATAGGCTTTACAATTGTTAACAGTTATTGTTAATAGTGTTCAAATTGAAGATGATAAATGGAACCGTCTTTCACGATAAATTGTCGATGTACTTCTTGTTCACTTACAATCTCAGGTTATTGTTCTTTTAATAGTCTCTGATTTTACGTTACTTTTTCTTTCTTCAAATAGGATAAATCACTTTTGGATATTTATTCCACACAATTAACACTATTTGATGCTGTGTTATCAGTTGAATTACGACCAATTGATCCATTGGTTATTGCTTTTCGAGCATTAGTAAATAGAAATGTCCGTTGTTTTTATTTATAAAATGTTTTAGAACGTCAATTGTCAATCTACAAATCGATAGTTAATCAATATAAATATAATACTTCGATGTCTTGTACAAAATTTAACTGACGATGCTATATTAACACGATAGAATGATGTTTTATTATCACTTAATGGAACACGAGATGAAAATTTTAGTGCATAACTATTCAAAATGATTTGATTTATAATTTAAAAACTATTATTCTCGTTTTGTTTTCAGAGCTCTTCGTGTTTTACATGACATAATATTATGAATTTTAACAAATACTCGACAATTATGTGTTCAAATCAATATGACATTAGTTTCTCTTGCATCCGATTATCTTTATGTACTTATGTATATTATGGACTAACTGAACCGATAAAAACTGGTTTCTATCAAAGTCAAAAGAGCTTAAGCTTTCATCGTAATCTATATGATAGTAACATATTACCCATTAATTTGAAGATAAAACTTTTCTGCAATTCATTAATTACTAATGACCTAGCGAAAAACATTTGACTTTAAAATGCCTATGTTTTTATAAGATCTATGATTTTATTTTAGCTAAACAATTTCGAACAATTGTAAATGATTTTCATCAATTATGAATTCATGATGAAACTATACATCGTCTTGATACATTTTTATATTTAACTATTTTAAGTCAATGTTTTAAATTATTACGATCATCATTTTATATCTCATTATTATTACAATGGACACATATTCTTAATATGCTTGATTATACACAAGAAGCATGGTAATCACCGATATTAACATCATCATCATTAAGAATACATTTATCTATAAATGGTCAATTACAATCTTATTGTGATTTAATATGTCATCATGAATTATATGTTGAACATTTTACATCAATAACAACACATTATCAATTTTTTTTTTATTTGAACAAAGTGATAAATAAATCTACATAATTTATTTGGTCTTACACATCGTACATCAGTTTCAGGTCATTTATTCGTTTGTGAATGAATACATTTAGATGAAAATGGTCTTGTATTAGTTTTATTAATTGAACAATTTCTTCCATTACCATATATATCTGTATTACGTTTAGTTGAATTAATTGTTTATGATCGTATTGAAATGATGTTAACACTTGACCAACAAACATTAAATAAACAATTATGACCTAAATATATACCATGAATTTTATAAATATTATCAATAACAATATCAATCGATATTATTAAAGAAGATTTTAATAATCTTAATTGTCCTATGGATATAACAAGAAAAATTTATGAACAAATGCTTAAAAATGTAACTTATAAAAAATGATTACCATTTATGATGTCACCGGTATATTTTAGTTTCATTTATCGAAATAAATATATATATATATGTATAATAAAAATTTTAATCCAATTAAAAGAAATGTTTTTTTTTACTTTGACATTGTTTATGTGCTAGTAATAGATGAGACTTTTGAATAATTCAAAACTTCGAAAAATATTTTGAAATAGAAAACTAGTCGATCTAATGTACTTACATATCAAGAAGAACGAGTTTTAACGATATAGATAAGAAACAAAATATGCAGAATTTCAGGTAATACAAATCGTAAAGAAAAGTATTTAAGCTACATTAGTACAATGACCGAATAATTCCTCTCGAATCTTATTGACCAAATTCTCAGTCGTGCTATTTGTACTGTTACAATTAAAGAAAACGACATCTTTCTAATATTATATTTCGTAAGATGTTTTCGATTGTGTTATTTATTTGCAACCGAAAATAATATTTCGAAATAAATTGCATTCGAGAATTTCGATAAACTTTCTATAAGTTTGAAATCGTGAACTCCGAAAACGTATTAGGTTTTTTCCGAAGCATTAAATTTTTAGGATGATTCTTATAGTAAATGAAAATTAATTTGAGAAAATAAGAAACAATATAAATCTGTTCTTTTTTTGTTTTCCTAGGATTTTGTATAGTTACACCCCTGGGCAAAAGTCTTTCCCCCCACCTCTTTTTTCAGCGAGGCTTTTTCTACTATTATAAGAACAAAACATGGTGTTGTTCGGGCCGATTAGGGGGTATTAGGGTCCTCTTTTATATAGCCCGAACAACACCATGTTTTGTCCTTATAATAGCAGAGAAAATCTTGCCGAAAAAAGAGGTGGGGGGGGGGGGGGGGGAAAGACTTTTGCCCAGGGGTGTATCTCAGATGCTTCATTGTCTTATCCTTAGTATTCTATCAACAGAACGATTAATATCAAATGAAACAAATCAAAATGATGTTGAAACAACACCTAATACAATTTATGAAAAAAGTCTTTTATCATGCTCTAATAATCAACCATATTCAATTACATGCATAGATTCTATATCAATGTATTTTGATAAAATACAAAATTATGTTGAATTAACATGTCAATTTTCAACAGGTGATATACATGATTTATTACGTTTTATAATATTTATATTAGAAAAAATTTATATAAATAAATTTCAAAAAAAACATTTCTTAGTTGTGAAATAGATCAAATAATATCATGTTGTACGTTATCGAAAACACTTTTATCAATATTTGAATATCTTTATCAACGACATGGGTTTAACTTATCAAATAAATAAATCAATTATTATAATCATATTTAAATTTAATTGAACCAGATAATAGTTCATTTATACAATTATTACTTTATTTTATTTAACAAGAAAAACTAAATATATAAATCATATATTTATTGACATGATTTACATTGTATAGTTATATTATTATTTTGTTTATCAATATTTATATACAGACAATTTTGAAGTTGGTTGATTATTAAGAATACAATTTCAAGAAATATAAGCTTCATTTTTAGCTTCAATTAATTCACTACAAATCAATGTAATGATGAAAATAAACAAACAACAAATAATTTTAAAAAAAAACAAGAAACTTTAGAAATAAATGCAATACAATAGTAACAAGATTGAAAAATAAACTAGATTTTGTCTGTTCTTTTTTTATCGGTAGTCAATGTATGCAAACATGTTCAACATTAGATACAAGTTCAAATAATTTATTTACAAATATTGAACGATTAGGTACACGTGATTTATTATCCTATGGACAACTTTCATATGATACTATATGAACATCAATCCAAAGTAATAATACATTACCATTATCAGTTAATGTAAGTCTCACATATGTTTTAATAATCGACAAATAGAACTCTAAGTTAAAAGAAAGATAAATTCATTGCTAAATTATTAATTTCATCAAAGAGAAACTCTCAAGGGGGAAACGGCAGATTCCGGATTCCCAAGATTCCCAGGATTCCCACGGGATTCCCGTGGGAATCCCGGGAATCCTGGAAATTCCGTGGGAATCTTGGGAGTCCCGAGAATCCGCCGTTTCCCCCTTGATTTTGAGAGTCTTGTTCTAATTCTCCAAGTTCTGAGTCAACTTCTTCGTCATCGTTGTCATCACTAGTATGTTTGGCCTGTTTATTTTTGATGATTACTTTATCTATTGATGACTCTTAGGCACAGGAGTCCCGTGGGATTCCCGGGATTCCCTGGATTCCCATTGGATTCCCAGGATTTCCAAGATTCCCAGAATTCCCATGGGATTCCCTTGGGATTCGGAATCCCGGGAATCCGCCGTTTCCCCCTTGGAAAATCTAGTGTTTCTCTGACTTTGATTTGATATATAATACATGCAAACTATCTTATTTCATATAGATAAAAGCTTATATCAATAATTTCAAATCTATTCTATCAATCAAAAAATTAGAGTATGAATATTTTCTTTGCTGGCATCTACCTTTAAAAATATACAATTTAGAGTTTATTTGATCGATTATTTTTTCATCATGGTTTTGATTTAACATCATCATTACAAATTCTAATTGAAATATATGTAATATGAATTAATAGGTTCAATTATATATCTATCTGATTTATTGACATCATCACAACATTTATCAAATTTATATGATGAATATTTTTGTACATGGTTTGATGAAGATGATTTAATGATATCCTTAATAAGTTATAATTTATGTAAATCTGGTATATTACTTGGACAAACAACAAAAGAATATAATGAATTATATCTACGTTTAATTGAACACGATTTTAAGTTAACTAAAATTCATGCATATGCATCATGTTTATTTTTTACTTGAAAGTCATGAAGTTGATTTAAATTCATATGATATTTGATTATCATTAATTAAAGATAATAATTTAACACAAAAAATTATATCAATTAGACTTGAAAAACTTTTAATAGTTGGTCAATATCCCAAAAATGATATATGGTGTTAATACTTTCACGTGAAGCCTGGGACAAAAGTTCGCTTCATTTTTCCTATCGATGTATTTTTGCAACTGTTTGAGCAA